CATCGGTCTAACTGGACTGGTTCTCTCCGGTTTGTGCCGGTTCGGTACACATGCCGGTCTTTGGGGTGGGACCGGACCGGTTGGACTCCTGGTTTTCCGGTTCCCGGTCCGAACCAGCTAGTCTGGTGCGGGTTTTAAAACTATGTCTCTTTCCCAATTTTCCAAGTCTTTCAAGTGTACAAAAAAAACTGGTCATCGATCTAACTGGACTGGTTCTCTCTGGTTTGTGCCGGTTCGGTACACATGCCGGTCTTTGGGGTGGGACCGGACCGGTTGGACTCCCGGTTCGCCGGTTCCCGGTCCGAACCAGCTGGTCCGGTGCGGGTTTTAAAACTATGTCTCTTTCCCAATTTTCCAAGTCTTTCAAGTGTCTTCCAACAATGTCCTAAAAATTTATTAAATTTTAGGGATAAATATAGGGACAAATATTGTGCTTTAATTTTATTTTGGGCGATTTCTTATAATCTTATAACATTTTTACAATTCTTACCGCATTAATTTCTTTCGATTGGGATATATTTTCACAAAACCCACAATGTTATGGAAAATCCCTCACACATTGATCCTCACCTTAAAATTTTATAAAAATCCAAAGTCGTTTGCAATTGGGGGTTACCATTTACCAGCATACCCATTTTTGTTAGATTTTAGGATAATGCTCTATGCATTAGTAACTTTCAATCCAACTGTGTGTTTTGCAAAAAAAAAAAAAAAAAAAACTTTCGTGTGAAAGAAACTAACGTTGTAAGAATAATTGTATAAAAATTGTTGCAAGATTAGGAACTTCATGAATTTATTTATTATATATTTCCATTTGTAATATTGCAATATTTCATAATGAAGAAAATGAATTTACTTGGAAAATAAAGATGCATTTGGTAATAAATCATTCTCCATCCTGAAAAAAACTTCATGATCTAACTTTGCAAAATCCACAAAAACAATCAAAAAGTAAAAGTGTATCCTCTGATTTTGTTAAGGTGAAAAAAAACCGTGAGCTATTCATATCAACGAGGATAAGACAAAAAAAGGTGAATAGTAAAATTTATGTTGGAATAGATAAAAAGGGAAAGAATAAAATTTATTTCGGAATGAAGGGGTAGATGAAATTCTTTTAACATTCCAACAATTCCCATTAATTTACTTGATGTTAAGAAATGGCATTCATGTGCCACCAAAAATACACATCCATAAGATACACTGGTGACTGGTTACCTTAAAAAAGTGTACTTAACTACTTACCATTCACATAGAAGAGTCCAAAGAAAGACAATACAGCCCCTACCCATAATCCCATTTTCAAAAAAGATTGCCCATCTAAAGAACTGGCCTCCCTGCCAATAAGTAAACAAGTTTTGTAAAAGAGTTAGGGGTAGGAATACATTTAGGGTTGAATGGAACGCCGTATGACTCTCAAATGACATGAGTGTCATATTCTGACACCCAGGGGCGACTAGAGTAAAATGGACATACCCGAGTATATTATAAGAGCTGACTCCGATCTTGCCCCTTGTTCAGCTTTCCAAAAAATGGCATGACATTCTACATTATAGACTTATAGTTGCCAATCTATAGGAGATTTCCCCATTTCCTCCATAAGCTTGTTTGTCTTTGAAAAATGCCTATATGCATAGAATAAGCATTCAAGAAAATCATGTTAGATGACATTAGTGAAGATATAAAGTTTTGACATTCCTGACTAGAGTGTCAAAACCACTGAAGTGGTAACATTGAACATGTGAACAATGACTTTTTGAAAAAGACTTTGTTTTTATTTCTTTCTTTACTTCTGCCAGAATAAAACACAATTTCAGTATTATGTTAACAAGAATACTTCTCACTACCATTGACAATGTTATAGCTTCGGATAAATAATTGACTACTCCCTCCATCCTATATCTTTTCTTGGTCAAATTTTATATACAATGGCTACAAATAGCAGAAACATTAGATTGAGTCATGAAATAAATTAGTATAATAAATTCAATTTGAAATGTAGTTTTAAAACATCATATTTATACAAGATAGATTCATGTTTAAAAATATAGATATTAATGGTAAAATTGTAATGATAATAATAATAATAATAATAATAATAATAGTTGTAAAGTCAATAGTAGACTTCATAATGTATCCCGCATAGCGCAACAATAGGCAATTTTAAAAAGCAGAACTTTGTTGAGGTGTTTTTTTAACACACCTGCATCCAAAGAAGCCTCTGTTTGCAGACAAACCAGAAGGATGTGCCGATTTCAGCACATGATGCTTTGTTTCGTCAATTAGCCTGCAAAAAAAATCTCTTAAATTAAGAATAATATGGACTAGTTTTTGGTTTTGTAAATTTGTATCAAACATACTCAGGGTTTTAAAATTTATCCTAGTTTAGGAAGTTTAACAGGAAGAAAACAAGTATTTGGCATCATTGCAAAATAAGAATTTTGAACTTTGTTTAGTTTCATTTGAAGCATATATCAACATGAATATTTCAATCATGTACTCCGTATGTTTTATTCAAAGCCGCCACTTAGCATGCAAGACTTTACCAGCCAAGGCAATTTCAAGATTTAGTTTTTTATTCATTTTTTTCATGCCAAGACGAAGGCATTTCAAGTACCACTACCAACTTCAATCGATAACTAGCCTATTAGCTTGTCATCATCCTATATTTCCCTTTACTGAGATGTGTTTTGCTTTTACAAATATTACTTCATTCAAATGAGGCTTGTCGGATTATATACCTGCCTTTTGCTTGAGCATAATTTCCCCAAAGAAGGAAGACTACTCCTTTTTTCTTTTGAGAAATTGCCCTTATGACAGCATCAGTAAATTGCTCCCAGCCTTTGTTTGCATGAGAGTTTGCTTGATGATGCCTAACTGATAATGTCATAAAAAGGTAGAATTGAGAACCGAGAAGAACATGAAAAGTGATAGACAAACAGCTGACGAACCTTGACAAAGTGAAGGAATGATTTGATAAACAAAGTTTTGAAAAAAAATGATACGCAGCATTGAAATAAAGAGAGCACAATATTTAAAGAAAAGAAAATGTTACCTGTAAGCACAGCATTGAGAAGCAGAACACCCTGAAAATAAGCCAGTTCACGAATTTAATTATGAATAGTGTAAAATTAATTGATTCTATCTAAATTTGTTAAGGAAATAAGACCAGTCATGGCATGGCCGTAGAAACAGCAAAAAATATGGTTAAAAAATGCCTATAAATTTGACTAGGGTTACCTGTATTGCCCATTTTTCCAAATTTCCATGAGAAGGAATTGAACAACCCAAGTCCTGTTTGAGTTCCTTATAAATATTGACCAGGCTTGAAGGAACTTTTACACCCTCTGGCACAGAGAAAGACAAACCCATTGCTTGACCAGGTCCATGATATGGATCCTGACATTGCAGTTTCCCATCCAGAAATTGTAGAGACAAGTTTACAATCAATCAATTTAGCAAAAACTATAAAAACACACCAAATAGGAAAGGCTGAATAGAAGACTGAGAACTTATTCAACTTTTGTCCATAGTGATTCTTTAATCATTTCTAGTCGACTACACCAGTTATAAAATGGACAGTATATAATCCCTCAACTTTCATAAGATGATTTCTGCCAGCAAAGCTGAAAGGATGCCAACTGTTTTGGGTATTTTTGTTTATAAATAGTTTTTTACTTGAAAAGTTGAAAAACCAAAATAAATATTTAGTTTATTTTAGAGAGAGAGGGGAGAGAGATAGGGAGTGAGGGAGGGAGGGAGAAAGATTTATACATTAAGGTGCGTGGAATTATACCTGTCCGATGATAACAGCTTTAACCTTGTCAATAGAAGTGGTATTAAGTGCATTGAAAAGCAAATGCTGAGGAGGATAAATTGGCACACCAGCACTGCGAATTTCACTTTCCACAAATTTACACAAGTTCTTGGCATATGGCTTCTCAAACTCCCCTGGCAATGCTTGCAACCATGACTCCTCCACCAACAACTCCTTCAACTTCACGTGCTGCATCCCCTCGCCTATCACACATTTACTCCCTCAAAATCTATCATAGAATCAAATAGTATCCCCCTCCCCCACTCAAAAAAAAAAAATCACAGAATAAAGTATAAATTTTATGTTTTTACTTTTAAATATGTACCTAAATAAAGTCATCTTTCCTCATTTTAATTTGGTAAAAGTAATAGTCTTACTTTACTACCTTCTTTTAATATCTCCACATACCACCATTAATTATTCTGAATCACATTTCACTAGGGCTATCTTGGAAGTCAAAGGAAGAATACTTGATTCAAATGCCCCACGAGTTAAACTAGAAAGTAGGAACTAAATCTAAGGATGAGGTAGTAAATAAAGGTAGTAAGAGTACATAAAATATATTAAGAAATATTGATGGTGGATACAACAAGCATCAAAAGGAATGAAATTTAAACAGATATAGAACTTCAAGGAATGAATCCATTCACTTTTCTTAAATTTTGTTATGAATCCTTTTAAGTAATAAGAAAAAATTGATATGCTATAGAAATAAATTCTACGGAGGATCAAATGCAACAATGAGTGCATACAATTGAAGTGTTTTTTTAAATTCAACCGCAAGGGAGTTCTCTACGAATATATATGTTCAAGTTTCTTTTCGACTAGTGCTACAAACTCTAAGGAAAAAAAGAAAATTTATCCTTGAGATTATAACATCATCTGCATTTTTAATAGAAAAAACCACTCCTTGCATAGGAATCAAGTATGCAAATTAAGGGTTTACATAAATTGCAAAACCTCACATTCGAATGCTTGTTTTCAAGTATGGATATTTAACCAGAAGATCTGTAAAAATTAAGACTAGTTTCATCAAAGACCATTGCACCATTTGTACGAAGAAACTGCTAAGCACCATTTACTCTCCTAAACTATGCTTCTAGATGAATTAGTTTTATTTCACAACACAAAAGTAATATTTTAAATTCAACACTATATTTGGTTCAAGGAATTTGAGAGGGTAATGAAAAGAAAATGAGAAGGAAGATATTTTTCTTATTTGGTTAGAGAGGAAAAGAAAAGAAAAAATGGAAGGAAAAGAAGATGAGAAAGAAAATAGGACTAGGAAAAACCAAATTCCTACCATTTTGACGAGGAAGCTGAGGAAAAATTATTTTCTTCTTTTATTTCATTCCAAATTCCTCGAACCAAACATAGTGTTACGCTTCGTATGGATTTTGGAATTCCAATTATACAGAACTTGAGATTGAGACATTGAGTAGGCTGACCTTCAGAAATGGAATTCGTGACTTTCTCAGCACAGCGCTTGAGATTGAGTTTCGCTTTGGCTAGGGATTTGTTGAACTCGATTTTCGAAATCTGCTCAGGCGTGAGTGATCCGGTTTGGGAAACGACGCCGTTCTCTCCGCCTTGGCCGTCGGCCGGAGACCGCAATGCAGCGGAGGAGAAGCTGTTGCCGGCGGCGGAGGCAGGACTCTGCGGCGGCGAGGAGACCCGTTTGAGGCGCTTCGCTGCCGGTTGCTTGAACAGATCCATGATAGTTTTTCCGTATGAAGATGCCATTTCCTTTCCCAAGATTCAATCTTCCTACGAGTCTAAAGTACTGTGGTCTATCTATGGAGGATCGGGTTAACGGAGATCAGCAAAATGGCGGCAGAGGATACCCTTTTTGGCGGGAGAAAACCATTTAGTTTATTAAAGGCTAAAATGTAGAGTAATTAAACCCAAACTTTACATAGTTAAAATGTTAGGATTCTTCCAAATAATTACTATTATAGGTGTATGTAGGTTTTGTACAGATGATTATCATCTTGATTATCATCTGTGTGTTAACTGTGCATAGTATGGGGCATCCTATCATTTGTGTGTTAACTATACGTGTATTTATAAAAAGATTAATATTGACACACACACACATATATAATACTGACACACACAAAAATATTTTCTCATTTGATCTTTTCGTTGGATCAAAATTGAGTTCTTGTATTTTATTTGATTTTTCACGATGTCCAGTGCAACACTTAACTGTTACATATTCAAATTTTGTGTATTTCTTTCAACCATTTTCACTATTTATTTGATAAAATAACATTATAATGTCATCTCTTAATTAGAAAAACTATTGATATATTCTGTTATTTTTAAATATGTAATTTTTTACTCTGTAGTTTTTGACTACCACCACAATCCTCAAATAAATTATATTAAACATAATTTCAGTCAAATATTATAAATCGAATCACGCACTATAAATTGGGATGAAGAAAGTACTCCGTATTAAATATACAATATTTCAAAATATTATTTCAAGATGAATCAAATGATATTAAATTTATAATATTATTCAATATTGAGTATTTTTTTAATGTTTTATGTTTAATTTTTTTATTTTTGATCAAAGATAAATGGAGACATTATTTTAGAACGTAAGAGAATACAGAATTGAAGAACAAGTCTTTTTTAGACATTAGGTTACCCAACACAACAACAACAACAACAATCCAGGTGAATCCCACAACAGTAGGGTAGGTTACCCAACACGTTGACCTAATTTAATGTTTAAGACCCAACCTTGAGGAATGGAGATAAGTTTTGACTATTTTGTTCCTTAGATTCTCTATGCACAAAGAATCATCACATCCTTATTAGTTAACTCTTCATACTCATATATATACCTGTTAGTTAGCGTTTAATGGATTTCACTAGTTCTTACCTTATTCAGTGTAAAATTTTTTATTGTCATGTATATCCATAATAATTTTTTTAAGTGATTGTGTGTAAAATACTTATCTGTCTATTTTTATTTATTTGAAAAAATAACAATTTTGAAATTTTTCTATTTCAAAATAAATTTATACAATCCAATGTATATTTTTAGTTTACAAGCAAATGAGAAATTGACTCTCTATGTCCCAATGATTTCTTTACATACGTGTTACCATGCTTGATTGATACTCCGTATGATTTTTAATTCATTTTATTCAACTGTTTGTGTTAAAAAAATTAAAAAATACATATTTAAAATTAAATCAAAAGGCACAGTAAGCAACACGACCAATTGACTATATTATTACAGAGTATGATTTTTTCTGACAGTCCTAATGACTATATTATTCAATAAGATGGATAGATGGAAATGTGTACATAAAGAAAAATTAGTTAAGAAATGGATAAAGTAATTTAGAATAGAGGGTAATATAAAGAGAACAAAAATATTTGGTTTTAATTTTTTACAGGACTGTTTTGAAAAACTAAATTACTCCCTTGGCTATATAAGAAAGCTTCTATTCTGACTTGTGACTGTAGCATGGTCCTACAACCATACCCCCCTTAGGACCTTAGCTGTTGAGAGAGGAGGACAAGCAGCCCTTGGGGGCCAACTAGAATCTCATTGAGGAAGCTGACCATCCCAAACCAGACCACGGGCGTGACATCCACTCCCCCAAGAGGGTGTATCACTTTCCTCGTAGGGCGCAAGAACGGCTCCGTTGGCGCATAGGCTATCACGTAAGGGAACTTCCCGACGGGGAGATTGGGGTACCATGACATCACTATCCTGAAGATGAACATGAGGGAGAACGCCGATAAGAAGGGTCCCACAATGGCTATGGCAAACTTTGCAGTTGCAGGGTCCAAGTCTACAAGAGCAGCATTTGGCAAGTCCTGCAATTTGAACCCAAGCTCGGTGTTGGATTTCATTGCTTCTTCAACTCCTACATGAACCGAAGGTTCAAGAAAACAAAAGGTTCTTAACCGGCATGTTTTTCGCCTCTCCTGACAAGAGAAAAGCAGTTGTCTTGAGTTAAGAACACAATGGTTTAAGGATTAAAGCCAACGACAAATAAGCCCAGAATACAAAGAGGTTTGGTTATCTTTTGCCCAGCTTGAAACTGGAGTCAAGGATGCCTATCCTTCTTTAGGGTGTCCATTTGGAACCCAGAAAATGTCAGGGAAACACATACACAATGACACACTATTCTTTCCCCTCTCTCACACTTGCTTCCTTCTTTGTCACTTTTCCAGGTCAACTTGCAATAACGGCGAGCAACATGAGTATGTTAATTAGGTTGCTTGTTGCAACTTCAACTACTCTGGCATGGAAGTGGCGGGCGACAATGAATCATGACCATTAAGCTGGGTGCAAACCCATTGAAAAGCTAAGGAAGGAGGGTAGTGTTGATATAGCTATCTCAAGAGCAGCAAATGGCCTCAGTCTAAGGCTCCCACATTTGAGTTGCGAGGTCTGTTCCAGAGCCAGACTTCTAGATCTGGTGCAAAGGGTCGGTTTTATAAGCGAGAGTGATGATATATTTAACCAATTTTTAAGGATGTATGGAGGCTACCAAATGAAAGTGTTTGGGAGATTGGTGAGACAAGGAGAACGAGAGTATGCTCTTGACAAGCTAATGGGTGAAATGAGTCCCTCCCAATACCAATAATGTAGTGGCATCTGCCCCAAACATCTTCCTAACTTCCAGCACGGGGGAGGTATTCAGGCATCCCAAAGCCATAAAAATGAAGGGGGAAAGACCCCTGATAAGTCTAGCATGGGTGGATCTTTTGCGGCACTGAAAATATGGGCCACCAAGGGCTATCTCATTAGCTAGACTCATCAGCTTGAAGTTCGCGTTCTTTTCCAAGACATTGAGATACTCACCTTCTTTTCATCACATGCCAGTTCACATTGGTACAACTAGAATACTTCAGATAGATATTGACTTAAACTTATCAGCTTAAGAACCGGCCCTTTGGCCACGACCAGAGTAGAGAGCCTAGTTCCACACAAGAGACCGCAACTCAGATGTGGGAGAAGCGATCAAAAATCATGCACAAAGCTTGACGAGGAGGAGCCATAAAATGCTGTTATTTGCTGCTCTTGAGATAGATATATCAACATTAAAGAAACCATCCAAAATAAGAATAAAACATAGAGAAAGTACCAAAATAGGAGTTCTATGTTTTTAATCCCAAGATAAGAGTTTGCAACTGTGGCAAAGTATATTGGCATTTTACAGTGATTTTTGGTATAATATGTTGACATTATTATCATTCTAACTCTTAAATAAAAACATAAAACTCTTATTTTAATACTTTCTCTATATTTTACTCCTATTTTAGTCTTTATCCCTCAACATTAACCTTCGTCCTTAACTTTTCAATGGATTTGTAGAGAATCATAAGTTTTATGACAACGAACCATTATCATCCAATGTTTTGATTCAGAACATTGGACGGTAATGATTCTTCGTCATAAACAAGAACAACAACAAACCCATTATAAGCTCAACTCCACCTTATTCTTGTAAAAAATTACAAGATGCCATTTCAGCTAGACCTTCGATGCATTTGCTTCCCAAAACATCTAAGAAGAAAATGAAGTTTATACTCCAATTTTTACTCGAAATTAAAAAAAATCAAATTGCCAAGAATGAGTATATGATTTTAGCTCCATTAGCTCTGAGGTTTCAAAAATGACTCTCCAAAACAATTGTTCTTAAATCCGAGAAGAGTATCAATATAAATGTGCAATTACTTCCAACTAAGAATAAAGGTAATCCGATAAATCAACTTCTGGAATCAGTGGGGGCGGGGGCTTACCGGAAATCTCCATGGCCGGTGTCGTGCCGGCGGCCCGGATTGAACGGCAGCAATGGGGACGGAGAAGGTGGCTGTTCCAGCCAGCACTGGTCGGAGAACAGAAATAACGTAATCCATCAACTGATTACGAATCTATGGTGGAGATCGAACGGTCTAATTGAACAACTGGTTATCTAATCCGGAAATTTTCAGAGAAAAACCAAAGGTTCTATATTCCGCATTAAAACTAGAGCTAACCAAATTGTATTACTTCGTATTTTATTAGGCTTCATTGGTGTTCATGTAGATTTAACTAATGGTATGTTTCAGAACATGGATTTGTATTTCAAATCTGGATTTGGTTCAAATTCCATGTTTGAAAAATTTTAAAATTTTGAATTTGGTTTTGAGTCAAATTTTTCTGATTCATAACATAAAATTATTTTTATTTAATTTATTTGGTCAGTAAAATTAAAAAAGTTAAATATAGTATATATTTAGAAATTAAAACATCATAAAATAAATAATGACATGAAGATAGTATATTATGAAATGGTTAGTAAAAGTAATTAAGAGATATGAACACATTTTGACATTAGGAATAATACCCTCTCCGTCTCAAAATACTTTATGGTAGTGTTTGGCAACTAAGATTTCATTTCAATTTATGTACTATTTCAATTCCAAAATTTGAAATCTTAAATTTCAAATAACAATGGGAGGCGCGTAGATTTAAAATTAAGCTTTGTTATGAATGAGAAAAATTTGATTCAAATCCAAATTCAAAATTTGTAGGTTTTCCAAACATGAAATTTGAGTCAAATCCAGATTTGAAATCCAAATCCATGTTCCCAAACATATCATATACTACAGTACTTTATTACGGAGTAGTATATAAATTAAATTAAAAATAAACTTACCTACGTAAAAAAAGAGCATCAAGTTTTTAAAAAAAGGTGACAAAAATATTTTATTTTATCAAATATTTAAATTGTAATTCTTTTTTAAACCAAGGAAGTAAATGGAAAAAAATATTTTATTTTGTAAATTTTATTTTGAAATGAATAAAAGAAAATACTCCGGGTATCTAGTCTAGATATAAATAGGAGTTGAACATCCCATTTTGTACGTAATTAATTTCTGGGGAAAACAGAAGAAAAGAAGTAGCGCGCAGGATCACGGAGAAAGCGCGTGAGAGGTGGGCTGTGGACGATGGATTCAACGGACTCCACCAGCCCATCCGCTTCCACCTCCGCCACCGTCGACGGCGTCGCTTCTCCGGTACCCTTTTCTGATAGCGTTGACTATCAATTTTCTTAAAGCTCACGCAGGAATATAGTTCTTCTTGATTTTCATACTCCATGTCTTCTTCTTCGTCTTTACTTTTATAATTTGGTCGTCTGGCATTTAAATTCTCAAATACATCCATATATTTATGCATCTGTTAATGGATATGAGATTTCCATCATCTCCGATGGAGCCAAAATTTCACCATTTTTTGGCTTTGGGGTGTGATGGAATAAATCAAAATGGATCTCTAAACTGTCTGCCCTTCTTTAATTAATGAAGTAGCAGTTAGTCAAGCAATGCAACTTTCGACGTTGAGCCAGGGGTCTCTTTGGATACAGCCTCTCTACTTTCAAGTAGGGGTAAGGTCTGCGTACACACACCCTCCCAGACCCTACTCTTGTGGGATTTAACTGGGTTGTTGTTGTTGTTAATGGATATGAGTCCAATTTCGTGTTTTTATGTTGAATTTATATTCCCATACTAATAATCTCAAGGTTAATTTTGAATCGACTAATGATCTGGTACTGGAATGTCATTTTCCGTGAGAAATCCTTCAATTTCTAAAGCAATTATATCATTAAATACAGAGTGATTTAGATTGGAAGCGTGGGAACTGGGAAGGAATGATTTGCCCTGATGTGTTCTGTAATTTTTAGTCTTGAAGGTCACATAGTTTCAATGGTGTTTTATGACTATAGTTTTAATGGTGAATCGTGAAGTATGTGTTTCATATTACATGCATTATTTTTTCAGTGGCAGTACATATATTTATTTGTCTATCTCTCCTTTTCATACTGGGAACCCTTAGAAATAAGGTGATAAAGATCAATATTTGGCATTTCATTTAAAATAAATGATTTTCTCATCTTTAAAAGCCATTTCTTTTTAGTTTAGAAGGGATACCTTTAGAAGTTGAAACATGAGGAAAAAAGCTTTGTGGAAGCAGAATTTCATTACTAACATATTAGTGGCAATAAATTCTTCCTGGAAAGGAGCTTCCATTTTCAAACTTTTATGGTTATGATAATAACAATTACGAGTGATAATGTTCTATTTCCAAGGATGATGCCTTTATGTCAAACTGAAGATTACTCCTCCCTATCTTTTCTACTTTTTCCCCAATGTTTTACCCATAGGTAACTGCAATAGGTCATGCGATCATATTGAAGTAGAAGTTTGATTCAGTATTTACATTCAGGAGGAACATTGCATGACATCTATAAGTGAGGATCATGAGAGGCCATGTTGGGGGTGTGGGCTTCGCTTACTTGTTTCCCCATATGCACGGGCTTTCAAGTGTGCTTGGTGTGGAGCTATTACAAATGATGATTTAGTTAAAAGTGATAACAAATGCTTCAAGGCGAAACGCTTGAGAGACCGATTCTTTGTCATTATTCTCATTACATTCATGGTCTTCATAATATGTAAGTATGCAAATTTTTCTTTTATCTCATCATTTGCTCCAAAGTCCCTGCCCTATATTATAACCCCGTAGAAATTAGTATGCATAAGAATCACACTTCCTTCAAAGGAATATCCAAGTTCATTTGGTGTCACGTTTCAGCCAAAAGAATATCAAAGATGATTTTTAGAAATACAGAGATCTTTTACATTTTTCTAAACTTCCAAAAAATGTCCTTAGCCGAAGATCTTCACAAAACAATCTCTCAGATCTTAAAGGAAGAGTTAAAGTCTATGCATATCTCGGTCTATGTGTATCTTATCGAGACCCTCTTTCCAAGTGAGGCATATTTTTTTTTAGTTTGGATCCTCATTTCCCAGTTTTGACTTTTGACTATTTTGACACTGGCTGCAGAGGTCCATTTGTGACTTGCATTAGAATGTCCTGATGCCGGCCATTGTTTCACATGATATTCCTTAATTACCTTTGCATTATTGAAGTTCCTAATGAAATATGCTGATGAAATAATGATTTCTATGATCTTCTGAAAAAAAATAAATTTAATATGCTGGATTCAAATCTTTCTGAACTAAATTAATGTCTTTTCTGTTTCCTGGTAGTGCAGGCGGTGGTATTTGGGCTGCTTATCCGATTATCTTCTCCATCAATTATTATAATGGCGTTTTCCACCTTATCATAGCCGTAACTCTGTCCATATCTACCATGTCCACATTTTTCCTCACTGCATTTCGATCTCCTGGCGCTCCTCCTAACATATTGTGGGGCAGCTATCCTGCAGTGGGAAAAGGTGGTCTTGAGAACTATACATTCTGTCACCACTGTTCAAAGCCAAAGTCACCTAGGACACACCACTGTCGATCTTGTGGGATGTGTGTTTTGGACATGGACCATCACTGCCCCTTTGTAAGTATCGATTACTAGTAGTGATTACAAAGTATTATTATTTTTATTATTATTGAAGTTGTTTTTTATTGTTGTTGTTGTTATTATTATTATTATTATTATTGTTATTATCATTATTATTATTATTATTATTTAGTGTTGCCATCTTAGGGTCAGTTTGGATGGAGAGATTTAGGGGAATGTTTTACAGCGGTAGTTTATCCTAACAACAAAATTGCTCACTGCTGTTTGATCTTGTCAGATTGGCAACTGTGTTGGTGCAGAAAACCACTGGTTTTTCATCATGTTCCTCATATCAGCAGTGATCAGCACGGTCTACGTCACATTCATGTCTGCTTATGCAGCATATCACAGCTGGCCACCTTTCAGCCACCGTGCGGCCATCCATCTGTGGGCCCGAACACTTGACGATGGGATGTTCCTCGCAACACTGAAAGAATTCATGGCCGCCTTTCTGAGTTCATTGTTGTTTCTGGAGACAAGAGGGATTGTTCTTTTGTACTTGTTCATGTGTAGTGTCTCTGTGGAGATAGGGTTAAGTGCGCTCTTGTGGCAGCAGCTCTTCTACATTTACCAGGGGAAGACCTATTTGAGTCATTTGCGCTCTTCTTCGCATGAGACCAGCGACGAAACTGCAACGAAGGGGTGCGAAAACATCATTCGCTTCTTCGGATGCCCTTATGGCGCGAAAAGATATCTGCCAATGTTTGTGAGTTCTAGTAATAAGATTCACAAGAGGTGAAAAAGCTTGAAGAAGATTTACTTGGCTGATTATATCTCTCCCCTTTATGTTGATATGTTGTTGTGTAATTGTATCTCTATTTTCTTTTGCTAACTCTTTGAACCCTTTTGCAGATTGGGTTCTGGTTGTAGCCCTCTCTTGATTTTGACACATTCCATTTTTGTTGGATACTTGGAAGTATGGTATTCAAAAGTTTGTAAATTTGTAAAATTGTTCTTGATAATGTTTTGTAGTAGGAGTGTGTATGACCATCAGAAGTATTTAAAGATTGTGATATTTTTTTTAGAATTGTATTGCACATCATTATGAACATGATTGTTACTTTTAATAATTGTCCATTAAGGTAGAATTATGGGTTTTGAAGTGAGTATTATTTTTGTCAGAAATTGACAACAATATGTATATAATTAATAGTAATAGTAATAGGATGATAGGTATTAGGCTATCATGTGGACTTTACAAAGATTAAGAAAGATGAATTGTTATCCCATATATTTTATAGGTACTAGGCTAAATAAAAATTGGGGTCCCAATTTAGTTAAAATGTCACTTTTAGATAAGTAAATTTTGGATAATATAATATACTCTGTACAAAAATTGCTAAGAATTTTAAAAATAAGCAATATCACCTCATTAATTAATATGATAAGCCTATTCTCGTACTTCACGTTGAAAATGTAGTCACGTTAAAAAGAATATAATGAAGACTAATCCAATTGAAACATACAAAATAGATTGTAGAGAATATGACAAAGCATTCTTGACTCGTGTGGGAAAGAAAAGAAATTGTTTATTTGGGTATGAATAAATTTGTACGGAAAATAATAATTTGTACGGAGTATATGACTAGGAAAATTTTGGAACCTCTGTTGATGATGGGCTCTGAGCGATTGTTCCTCAAGCCTATTTCCAAGGCTAACCCATGTGTTAAAGAAATATTGAATATTAAAATATGATTGGTTAAAATTTATTTAGAATTGTTTTTCACATTTTCTTTAAAAAAACTACGAAAAAGTGTTTTTTTTTTTTTGGAAAAATGAAGAAAGAATGTGAGAACTTTTGCGAGTGCTAATACAAAAATGAAATTAGGAATAAATGGACAATGGAGTCAAATGGTGAGGATAAGATCATGAGACCACCACACAAAGGGCAAGACTTTGAGATAGGGAGAGAAAGAGATCAAAAGAATGATGGGTGCCATTCCCAGCAATAAGCCATTTGCAGCTAAATCAGCTCACATAATATTCCCAAAGGCCAACAAATCAACTCCTCCATCATCATCATCATCATCTTCTTCTTCTTCTTCTTCAACTAAGAGAAATGATCTCCCTTTCCCCATGGTATAGTAACAGCCTCACCTTCTGTCCAATAAATTGCTTGTTGAAACATTTTTTTGTAAAGTGAATTAAATGAAAGATAAGTCATTTGAAAATGTTTAGAGATAATTTTGTACCAATAACTGATTTGGTCAAAACAGAGAAGAAAAAAGTGATTTAAACATAAGTATAATGAAACCTACTTATTTGTTATAACTGACAATTGCAGATGAAGAAAAGAGGCAAAAGAGCAGCTAGAGGTGTGATAACCATACCAACATCATCAGATAGAAGAAGATGGGATGAGAAGGGGAATTGTGAGTTCAACTTGTCCCTGCAAGATCTCCACCTCCAAGACCTATCTGAGGACACAAATAATGCCCAACTTTCCATCACTCTCTCCATTCAAAAGGTTCCCATCTTTGGTCACCTGCATTTTTCTTGCAAAATGTTATTTGACATGTTCACTGAATTGGGATTTTTACTTGAAATCAATTTCTTGATTCTTGGGCAAAATGTCGATCAGAAATAGCCGACACCATCAACAATTCAGAAACTGTTGTTTGAATAACCATTTTGACAACATGTTGCCAAAATGTTATTCCACATAGGTTGGTAAAGTAATTGTATATACTGCTAACCGTTAATCGCAAACACACCCATCATTATTAAGTATGGAGTATGATTTTGGAGTCAAATTTCAAATTAATATGGGAAAAAAATAGTAGTATTAGTAGTAGTAAATATTATTGTTCATGTTGTCAGCACATAGGCTTTGGACTATCTGTGGATGGTAGAGTAATAACATCCATACCCAGAAAATGCAGAAACTGTTCTAAACCCTACTGCAAAGAGGTATGTTAGTTCATGTTGTTAGCTCACATTTCCCCATAAATATCTATCACTTTCTCTTTACACTATGTTTGGTTCAAGGAATTTGAGTGGGAAAAGAAAAGAAAATGAGAAAGAAAACATTTTTCTTGTTTGGTTAGAGAGGAAAAGAAAAGAAAAGTGGAAGGAAAAACAATGAGAAGGCAATATGTATTAAGAGGACGGAATACCAAATTCTTCTTGTTTTGGTGAGGAAAATGAGGGAACCCCATTTTCTTTCCTTTCATATTCATTGAACCAAACATCGTGTTAAAGAAATTATTGTGTATTACATATACTTTCTCTTAAAACATATGCAATTAGGTTAACAAGTCTATCTCTTATATGGTGAGTGATATGTAACTATTTGAGTGAAGTACCAATATGTGATGCTTTAAGGCAACACAAACATAGCATCAGTTTGACACCATGTGTTTCGCTTACATAGACATACAATGGTCGTACATGTTTGTGCGGCCCACATTATGGTTGTTTGTCCATGTCTGTGTTGACGCACGATGTCAGTTTTTCGTGTCAGCCTTACTATGACTGTAACATGGTTCTTCTCAGATTGATGCAAACTTCAACGCGTGGTCAAGACTGTTGGAGCTAAAACAATCCGGTTTATGAAACATGTACATTTAATAGTTGATATGGCATATATAATTGTATTGTATTAACAGCAAGGTTTTCAATAGAGACATGATCCCATTCATTCATTATAACAAGGGACATCTTGTCATTAACAGTCCATACTGTTAGAAAATTCTTAAACCCACACTAATTTAAATACTTATTATAAACCGAACGTTATTGTTTATACGAGTATATGTGATATCAATGCAAATAAAGTACTAGTCGATGTAAGCTATTTTCTTAACTACGGAGTATTAAGCAAACATTTTAATCATACTATAAACTTTTAAAAACCCAAGAATATAAACCCCACTAACTAATCTTAATATAGAATTATATTAAAGTTAAAAATCGATACGAGTAATTTATATATTTATATAAAAAACTTTGATGTTATAATGAAAATGAAAGTATTACATAAAAAACACAAATTCTTCGTAATTGATTTTACATACGATGTCTTTGGAAGTATTTGAAATCTCCTAAATGTTTGTTGAGCACTCAACACATTTTTTTATGTAAAATTGAACCGAAAGGAACAATAACCTTCTGTTTGGTTTTTGTTTTTGTGTAAAAATCAAATTAGATAAACATTCCAAAGTATGGAAGATGATTTTTTATTCGCTACGATCGCATGAAAACTGGAAAGAAATAACTGTCAAACAGAGCATCCTTCAATAATAGTTCAAGTCAGGAAACATAATTCTGAACATATAGAGAACATAATCTTCCTTAAATGGACTTCCAATTTTCATTTTTTTTTGTTTTCAAAACAATGTTTTTTCTATGCCCTCTGTTGAGGACAAAGAGCCAATTCTTCTCTAGCTGCGGCTTCCACGTCTTCATCGACGAGCTCCTGTGGCTGAGGCATGAACCTATGTGCCCTTTCCCCATGGTATAGTAACAACCTCACCTTTTTTTCCTTTTAAATCATTACTACATTATTGAATCCTCCTGTTATCCTAATTTACAGGGTGTTTCATTGTTATAAACAATTTTTAACTTATAAATTGCTTATTGGAACAAGTTTTCTAAAGTAAATTAGATTAAGTATAAGTCATTTGAATATGTTAATAAAAGGTTAGATATAGTTTTGTACCTGTAATTGATTTGGTCAAAACAGAGAAGAAAAAAATGACTTAAAAATAAGTACTAATAAACCTATTTTTTTATTTTGTTTTTTATGTTTGTTATAACTTACGGAGTATTAATTACAATTACAGATGAAGAAAAGAGGCAAACATGTTCTAAACCATATCAATATGTTCTAAACCAGGCTTTGGACTATCTGTGGATGGTAGAGTCATAACATCCATAGCCAGAAAATGCAGAAACTGTTCTAACCCCTACTGCAAAGAGGTATGTTAGTTCATGTTGTTAGCTCACACCCCTTCCCATAAATATCTATGACTTTCTCTTTAAAGAAAATATCCATGATTGCCTGTCCGTGTATGTCTTTGACACATGATATGTCAAACTTTAGTGTCAACCTTGCTATGACTCTAACATGGTTCTTCTCAGATTGATGCAAACTTTAATGATTGGGTTCTGCCAAGCAGGCAAAGTGTTGCAACTTCAGTAAATGTACACATAAGTATCTTATATGAGCCATGTTCTTTTGACACCAAGGGTTGGCTTGTTAATAAAACCGTTTAGAATGATGGATTACAAGTGATGGGGAATTCAAAATAGCTATGCACCATCTAATGGGAAAACAATTGAATGCTGCACATGTCTGCTCACTTAAAGAATGCCCCATCTCCCTACTTCAAAGACTTTGAAGAGAAACAAAAAGCAAAATTATGTCCAAAGATAGACAAAGCAGGACAGATCCCTCTACTGTTTACTAAGAGTGAATTAGTACAACTGTGAGCCTCAGTAAATTGAAAGGCTGTGTCCTAAAAAAGATGATAGTACCTGGTATGGGTGGAAGAAGAACTCTTACGGCAAACCAGCTGCTGCAGACTGCAGTAGCTCCTGAGGTCATCACCTGAATCAAGGAATTTAGTCTTGAAGGCACTACCTTCTAAGAGCACAAGTCAACTGTGGGAAATTGAGATGCATTTAACCACACCTATTTCTACTTGAATTACAATAAAAAAAAGGTAACCGGTAACAACAATACTTGAATGGACAAAAATTCGTTCTTACAATCGCAATAACCAAAACAACCATCAATGTGCAAACACAGTACAAAGTTTTATAACGATAAAAATGTAATTGAAGCATAGATCATAACAAAAAGACAACTGTAGAATCATCCATTGACTATGGAGCAGAGCGGCCTCTCCTGTGCGCTGCATCGTGGCCTTGGGCTGGCCTTGTTCCAAGTCCAAGAGCAGGTCCTGGTCCTGACTCAGGTAACTCTGGTGCACAATGTAGTCAAATAATCCCCCAATGAAACCGAAAATGTTCTGTGAAGCAACTAAATACAAAGTTTTAGTCAACACATCTTGCATGGTGACAAATTGGGCAAAGATAGCACTAGAAATGGCTACTAAAGCACTGCCAAATGGTATCATTGTGGTAGATAGACTGAATAGCACACCACAAAAAACACGTCTTTTCAAGGATATTCACTTTTTTCAGGGAAGTTCTTGGCCATATAAACCGCCCCTACTTGTCCTATGGTGTCAATAAGTTAAATGATAAAACTTCTTCACAAGACTCCTCCGCCTCTGGAGAGAAGCGGAGTTGACAGGTTCCAACGCGCCACCATTTTAATCCATCCCTTGAAAACTAGAACATGAACAGAGGGGATAACAAGGGAAAACATTGCCTAAGAAGCAACACTTATAATCGAAATGACCTCAAATCCCACGAGCGAATGAAACCCAGCTATTGCACTTAAGACATATGCAGTCATGTCTCTCAGGTTCCAAGAACCAGTTATATCATTTTCACCATCTAGCTTTAAACTCTAAAATTAAAACACCATACTATAATACGGAGTATATAAAACATTACGCTCACAAAAATATACTAAATTCATAGAAACCCTAGAACCCGATAGAAGAGAGACGGAAGAGAAATCTCACGAACCTGTTAACGCCATTATGATGGTGAAATTTTGAAACGGAAAAGGAAGGCTTGACGAAGGTTGAAGATGAAGGACATGCCTCGATTCGACACAGTGACTTCAAAGAAGAAGGTCCCGACTCTCTCAAAGACTAGACTTAGAGTGCGAGTTCAAGGGTGCAATTTTTACATCCTTGGGCTTTCTATTTGAAAGGATGGCATATCAACATATTTGGGCCAGGTAACTTGGTGGCCTATTTGACAATGTCGAAAATTCAAGTCCACTATATTATACCAGAGGAGAATAGATATTATACATCTGGGTGTACCTAGCAACAAATGTTCATTTTGAATCAATGTAGCATTCATTTTTCACACATTAGTTCCTTGCAATTATAATATTCACTTACGAACAACAAATTGTTCATTCTGAAATAAAGTAGTGTTCATTCTAAGCCCGCTCAGCTTAGTGTCCATTCTAAAGCAACGCAGTGTTCATTCCGCAATTCTTATCATCAGTGGTTTGCTCAGCAACAACACCTTCACCATGGTTGGCTCTGCGATAGCGTGCATTTCATTTTTGGAAAAAAATATGTCCATTCTTGTGCGTGGTAGTGCTCATTCTGACATGTCATGGTACTCATTTGTAGTTTGAGCAATGGATAAAATATATTCATTCTTCTCTTTGCTAGTACTTATTTTTAATACATAAAAAATCAATTAAAATACAAGTTTGTCATGATTTCGAAAAACTAAGGTACCCCCGAGTGCGCCTTAGAATTTGCAATCATACAAAGTATCAAGCACTATTCAAACGATACAATATTTTTTCATATTTTAGAACCTCATCACCTATTACGAAGAGCTAGCATTTCACACGCACAATGCACGAAAATTTAATAATTTGAGATTAGACACGATAACGGCGTTAACATGTTCGTGAGATTAGAACCTCTTCCTCTCTCTTCTGCCGAGTTCTAAGGTTTCTATGAGTTTAGTATATTTTTGTGAGCGTAATGTTTTATATACTCCGTATTATAGTATGGTGTTTTAATTTCAGAGTTCAAAGCTAGATGGTGAAAACGATCAGAGATTTAATAACTGGTGCTTGGAACCTGAGAGACAGGTCTTAGCAACTGCATATGCCTTAAGTGCAATAGGTGGGTTTCATTCGCTTGTGTGATTTGAGGTCATTTTGATTACGAGTGTTGCTTCTTGGGCAATGTTTTCCCTTGTTATCCCCTCTGTTCATTTCTAGTTTTCAATGGATGGATGAAAATGGTGGCGCGCTTGGGGCGTGCCAACTCCGCTTCTCTCCAGAGGCAGAGAAGTCTTGTGAAGAAGTTTATCATTTGACTTATTGACACCATAGGACAAGTAGGAGAGGTTTGTATGCCCAAGAACTTCCCTGAAAAGTGAATATTCTTGAAAACACTTGTTTTTTGTGGTGTGCTGTTCAGTCTATCTACCACAATGATACCATTTGGCAGTGCTTTAGTAGCCATTTTTAGTGTTATCTTTGCCCAATTTGTCACCATGCAAGATGTGTTGACTAAAACTTTGTATGTAGTCGCTTCGCAGAACATTTTCGATTTTATTGGGGGATTATTTGACTACATTGTGCACCAGAGGTACCAGAGTCAGGACCAGAACCTACTCTTGGACTTGGAACAGGGCAGCCCAAGGCCACGATGCAGCGCACAGGAGAGGCCGCTCTGCTCCATAGTCAATGGATGATTCTATAGTTGTCTTTTCGTTATGATCTATGCTTCAATTACATTTTTATCGTTATAAAACTTTGTACTGCGTTTGCACAGTGATGGTTGTTTTGGTTATTGCGATTGTAAGAACGAATTTTTGTCCATTCAAGTATTGTTGCTACCGGTTACCTTTTCTGTTGATTGTAATTCAAGTAGAAATAGGTGTGATTAAATGCATCTCAATTTCTCACAGTTGAACTAAATAATGTTCTTGTGCTCTTAGAAGGTAGTGCCTTCAAGACTAAATTCCTTGATTCAGGTGATGACCTCAGGAGCTACTGCAGCTGCAGTAGCTGAATATCAAGGAGGAGAATGAGGTTATGTTTGATTCAGTCTACCACACTGAATATCAAGGAGGAGAATGAGGTGATCGTCATCCACAGCGACGCCGACTCCGATGTTGCCCCGGTCAAAGAGAATAAGGTGGTAATCGACCTTGTTGATGAGGAAGATTGTGTAATTTTTATTGCGAGTGATGAAGGTATTTATGATATTGAATTTGGAAGTGAAATTGTTGAGAATCCAACTTTGCCATTGATGAAATCAAGCATGCACCTCCACTTAGACATGCTGAATATATTAATGCCCAGTCCAGATCCAAACTTTTGAGCCTCAACGTACAAGTAGGGAAGTTACTTTCCTTTCATTACATGTGTTTCTGGTTTTATTATGCCTTGAATTCTAAACCTTTGATTATGTTAAGAAGACTATGTGCATGTTATACATTGATGCCTCTAGGATCTTAATTGCCCAGATTCAATGATGATTAAGTGTAAACTGTGATGAGCATGTTTTTATAAATATGCTAAGTGTGTACATTTTGCCTTCCTAAACCTTTGATTGTTGAATGTGTTTGTGGATGTTTCTTGCCTAAACCTCTAACATATTACTTAGCAAACTTCTATGATGACTGGTATTTGCATCTGTCTCACTTAAAGAGAGTACTATGATGAGCTAAACAGAATTCCTAAAATGGCTCTGAGCAACACCTTTGGATATCCTTAAATGCTTTAAGTGTATCATTCATTGTCAAAGTGTATGTGTATGTTATACATTGAGCAACACCTTTGGATATCCTTAAATTCTTTAAGTGTATCATTCATTGTCAAAGTGTATGTGTATGTTATACATTGATGCCTCTATGATCTGAATTCCCCAGATTCAATGATGATTAAGTGAATACTGTGTTGAGCATGTACTTATAAATATGCTAAGTGTCTACTATGATGCCCATATTGCCTGGCATACTTCTATGATGACTGGTATTTGCACCTGTCTCAGAAGAATAGAGTATTATGATGAGCTTTTTGAATTCCTGAAATGGCTCTGAGCAACACCATTGCATACACTTAAATGGTTTAGGTGTATCATTCAGTGTCAAAGTGTGTGCATGTATTCCTTCTTTGTCACATTCTGTGAGGACTGCAACTTGCATTGTCTGAGAAACACTATGTACTGTTGATGAGCATTTTATAATGATGGAATGACTCTGAGTACCAAATGTCTCAAAATCAGCAATAATGATGTGGGGAAGGGCTTATGAGAATCATATGTTGCATTTAAGTTACATATAGAGCAGATTGTGTGTAGTTACCTTGATGTGAGTGCATATATGGCAGTGTATTACCAAATGCAAGAATCAGGAATGATGATGTGGGAAAGGGCTTATGAAAATCATATGTTGCATTTAAGTTACATATAGAGCAGATTGTGTGTAGTTATAAAAAGCAAAAAGTAATCTGCTAATGTGGCTACCATTTACAAAAAGTAACACCTCAAAAGTAAATATGGTAACCACTTACAAAAGGCAAAAAGCAAAAAACAAGCTTTCTTACATCCATGGACTTAGTTCAACTCTGAAGGCAGGAATTCCTCTCCCTCTTCAGTGTTGAACTCAACCATGTCTACATTGCTAGTCCCATTTTGTTGTCCAAGTAGTGTAACTGTCTTTTGAATTAGGCTTAGGTCTATGGTCAAGCACTTAGGAAGGTTCCCTGCCCTGGCTAGACTGTCTTTCCCCACTGGCTAGATTGTCTTTCCCCATATGTAGCAACATGTAGTTGTTACCTCCTTCATGTTCCATGACTTTAGTTAATACCTACTGATAATTCAACCACACCTTGTTTAGGGTTTCAGGCCTTAGAGAAACTATATGCTCCTTCCACTGCCTCTAACAATTCACTCACTGTGTTTAGAGCACATTGCTCTTTTAAAGACCGAATTGCTCTGAAAAATTCAAGGTCCAACACATTTATGTCAGGGGAGTTGGGGGTTGATTACCTAGAGAGAGTGATGTGAAATCCATTGGTGTTACCTCCTACCATAAAGTCTAAGTCTATTCCTTGAATATGTGGTCTTGCATTATCTTGTTGAATGTGTATTTCTTTGGATGACTGTGATGGCCATTTCTCTTGGATAGCTTGATTAGCATATCTTTTGTGATTTGTTTGGTAACACTGGTGATTGCTTTCACCTCCACCACCCCCTTTTCCTTGTTCTTACTTTCCTTTAAGCTTTGAGTTTCTTTGTGAAATGAAATATCCCCACTTTCCCATCCCACAACACTTCTTCATTCTTCCCATAAAGTAGTCTTCCAACCACACATAAGAACAAGACTTTGGCTATGAATCTTTTTTATTTACATGCTCTATAGGGGTCTACTTCATCTGGAAGGAGGTAAAACCTATATGAAGTTTTAGAAATAAAGAACCATTTCTCATCAATGTGTAAAACATTGTTAAATGTTTTAAACTTAGGCATATTGGCCATGTTGTAACTTGTAAGGGTCAACCTAAACTAAACAGAACCTCAATCTTGTAATCTTATTTGCATCAGTTAAATATGGTTTGATAGCATTTGAACGGCTCCTAAGCATACCTCTTGTAACCCACTCATGTCCTGTTGACAACTTCCCAAATGCTACTATTAATGCTCTCACATTAGTCCTCTTCCTCAGGGGAGTATCTGCAACTACTTTTAAATCCATAACAACCCTCTTCCTTCCACTATTTCCTGCAATCTTGCTACTCACATCAATGGCAGCCCCTGCTCTAATTGTTTCTTTGCAATAACCCAAATTTTACTGACAGTTTTTCTACAAACTTTAAAGTTTGAGGCAAGTTTCTTAATCTGCCCATACTGAGCTAAGAATGAACCTGGATTCTGTTTTGAATGTGCTAGTAGTGCATCACTATTGAGTTGCCTTGTTGTGTTGTCTAAGTTCTTCGTGTTTATGTCACAGTTCATTATGGTTTATATATGCAGGGTACCAGAATATAGAGAGTTAATGACAAAAAAAGAAGCACAACATGGAAGGAAATGAAGAAGGGAATGAAAGAGGAAAAGAGAAAAAGGAAGGATATGAAGAAGTGAATGAAAAAGAAGGGGAGGGGAAGAGCAGGATGAAGAAAAGAAGGGGCTGCTGAAAAAGGAAAGATCTGGGGGTTTAAATGATTGTAATAAACCCTTTGAATGGGTGTTAGAGCTTTTTTGGGCGGGTGATTTAAAACCAGGAGGGAATGTGAATTCATTTTGAATTTTTTTGTAATGTAATTTGTGATTTGATGTAACTGTTAGGCATGTCGTAACACCTACAAATTAATTTATTATTTCCTTAACTTTTAACCCCCTTTATGATTCAATATTCATTAAAACATATAGATAGGACAAGTAAGGGTCGATCTCACAAAGAAAGATATTTTTTAGGCTATTAAAATCAGTTCACTTGTCACTTTTATTAACTAAAAACTAACTAAAACTAAACTAACAGATATGGGGGGTTTGAATGATAAATATAGAAGGATATAAAAACAAATAAAATAAAAATAAAGGATAACAGATAACAAATACGAGATGGAACCACAGCAGCAACTCGAACTCAAAAGACACTAAGGGAGAAACAAACACACATTTAAACTTTATAAAAACGTAGACAATAATAATTAACTTAAACCATTTTGAAAATACTTAATAGTTTTTAATAGAAAATAAACCAAACAAATCTGATTAATCAATGATTTATATCTTAACCTTGAAACTAAACTGCTAGTTAAACTCAGGGTTAAGCGGAAGAAGACCATGAGGTTCTTCCATGTTCTTCCTAATATAGACTATGTTAAGACCTGCACTAACTTTAGACCCTACTATTCTTAACAACCCAAGGACCTGCCCCCAGATTTAATTAAAAATAGAGCATTAATTTTTTTGGAAAACATCACTTAACAACTATGCAGTAAAATATATCTATTTAACATAGCCAACATGAAAACTCTAATTAATAAAAATTGGGTGAGAAGCCAATTAAGTATTAATCAGGTGACAATTGTGTTTTGAAAATCTCAGCTATAAACGTACTCAAGATCTTAAAACTGTCAATTAGAATTAGAGTTTAGGCGGCCATCCTAAATTGATCTAATCCAAGTTTAAACAAAGACCAATTTTCAAACAACTTTTCGAATTTAGATTTGACAGGAGCGCAAAGGCTAAATTTCCTTCAAAGTCAAATTAACTCAACAAGAACAACCAAATCAAATATTTAATTGTTTTGTCAAATAATTCGGCCTAAGAAGGTTTTATAATTTCATATACAATAATCAATCAATAAATCACAACTTGAACAATTCAACATCAACACTCAAACAAATCAACACTTATAATACGGAGTATAACTTAAACATTCAACAAGTATGGAATTAAAAGTACACATATTTAATAATGGATATTTAAATCTACCAATTGGACATTAATAAACTTAAAATCCTAATAAAAGTAAATAACAAAAAAAAACAAGTAGGTAGTAGGTAATTGAACTCCCCTGACTGTTCTTCTTCCTTGTTCGATTGAACTCCCATGATGCACCACAACCAGAGACCATCATCTTCCACATCTATCCATGGCCAGAGCCCTACCGTCGCCACCATCCCCGGAGTAATTATCGCCGAGCCGCGCCGGGCCTAAGGTCGAAACCCTAGGTCGGCTCTTGTTCCTTTCTCTATCTTTTGTTTTATTTTAATAAATGGGTAGATGTTGGGCCAATTTAATATTTGGGCTCGGCCCAATCTCATTTACTCTTCCATTGTCTTTGAGGTCCAATGTCCAACTTTATTCTTTACCTCTACTTTTGTGTAAAAAAAATATTAGTATCAAGGAAATAATAACCAAATATAAAAATGCTCAAGCATTTTATGCATAAAATATAAACTATAGACTAGACTGCTCAATGTGAGAAAATATAATAGTTTTAGTATAAAATATTATAAAACTACTAAGAAATGAGAGAATAAAATATAAGATTTTATGACTTAACAATAACATACTCATACATTAAGTAATGATTATAAATAGTGCTTTCCACTTCTTCATTCTCGGCCAAGTTATAACCTACTTCCTCCATTATTTAAACAAGGGTATTTTAGTCTTTCTATACCTTTTGTCAAGCCCTCTTACAAATGTGGAAAATTCAAACTAGAAACATCATTCTCGGACGGAAAGAGTATTATTTGTGATTCACGTTTTAAAAGTTTAGCCGTTACTATTGACCGGAGATGCTCAAGACTATTGGAGCTCAATCAATCCGGTGTACGAAACATGCACATTTATAAATATGCAAAAACATGCACATTTAATATATAACTGTATTAAACCTTATGAGTTGCACTTTACTAAAATTGAATGTGCATACCTTGGTCAAACGAGACTCATTCTAAGGCCATGTAATACACATTGATCATGTTATGAGCAGGTTTTGTACGTGTTACAATATATGCTATCTCAACCTTAAGAAGTGTAATTTACCAAAATAAAATAACCATACCTTGGTTGAACAAGACTCGTTTTAAAACAGGTAATTCACATTTTTATCATTCTATGGGCAGGTTTGGTATGCTATCCCAATCTTACATAGACCTTGCACCCTTTGCCAGCAAGATTTTGATGCTTCATGTTTTACATGAATGGCCAATCGAGTTGCTCTTCATTGCCTTTGTTCAAAGTCCAAGCGCCTTCAATAATCTCATTAACCAGTTGGTTCCCACTCCAACTCGAAAACCCCAAAAAGAACCAAAAGCCGTTGACAGACTGATTGCCAGATTTCATTTCATTTAGTAAGTGGAGCGTGGCCACTTGATCAATGAAGTATATGTGTGGAAGGACTTCTGGGTAGTTGCGATCTTCAATGGATCTTTTTGTCAAGGCCACAAGAGGCATTCCAGGTCTCATCACAGGACCGCCGTAAGACAGAGGACCCATCTTCAAAAACTCTAAACCTTCTTCGATTTCCTCCAAGGATTCCCAACTGAGCCGCTTGTTCACAATTAGACCCTCATATCCATAGCTCATGTCTCCTTTCACAATTAGAATTTTAGATTCGCCAAACGGATTAGAATTCAGTAGCATGTATGTTGCAGTCAGCATGGAACCCACATCTACTTGAAGGGGGGTTTGATGCAAACTGTTCAAGGAACTTGATATTTGTGGGTACTTGGCCCTTGACTTTAGCATTGTGTCTTTAAGTAGAATTTCATGGTATAAATTGTTTG